GTGTGTGTGTGTGTGTGTGTGTGTGTGTGTGTGTGTGTGTGTGTGTGCGTGCGCGCGTGTGTGCGCGTGCGTGCGTTGCACATACATATATGTATACATAAGATTTGTTTTTTATTGCTGCACTGGATTGCATTAGAACTTTCCTTCTCGCTTTCACCAAATTTCAGACATACACCACACCTATTTCATTTTAAATAAAAAGAGTGTACACTAGTTCAGCTATAAAAACAGATCTATATTTGCGTATACATAATACACACACGTATACTAAGTATCTAATTGCAACAAATGACTCAAAACAAACAGCAGCATTATGATAAAAAGAAGAGGACAAGTCATTATTGCACCTATTTAATACTTATTACTACACGAAGAATAAGAAGTGGCTCTTTATCCTTTTTTTCCATTTGCAATTAAAATACATATCTGATATACTCTGATTACGATTTTATCACTAAAATTGCTATAAAGTATGCGAATCTAATGTGTGTAAAGATAATCGTAACATAAGTAGATACTGATACAAAAACCTAGTAATCTCTTCTTTGTGTTTCTTGTAAAAAATAAATATAAAGTTTGTAAGATATTAGATATAACCTATATACATATATACATACATATATATATATATATATATATATATATATATATATATATATATAAATTTGTTATTATATAAAATATTTCAAACATAATTATACAGATACCTGACCAGAGTGTGGTATTAATAAATTATGAACTTTTTAGCACATCCTCCTTTCACGTAATTTATATTACATGTACAGGGCTTGGCAAAAGTATGGAAACCTCTAATTTTATGAAAACTACTGCATATTTTCAAAATATTAGTATGACTTTGAAGAGTGTTGTCAAGGTTACGTAAAGGTTCACGGTAGGTATACTTGTGATTCCCGGGACCTCCCCAAAAAAGCGCCGTGAGGGACATTCGAGGGGGTTTTTAGTGGGTTAAAGTCCCACATAACCGCCCTCCCTACCCCGCGGGAGGGGGTATCCGTGTGGATTTCCCCCCCGTTATAAAAAAAGGTTACGTAAAGGTTACCATAAAATTTTTTAATGTGAAAACCCCAATTTTTTATTATATATTCTTGAGTTTTTCAAAACATTATAATAAAATATTTTTTATTAGGGAAAGTGTGCCTAATATCGCACCCCATTTTTAAAAACCAAAATTTTGACTGAAAACTTCTATAAGAATATAACTAAACCGCATTATTTTATTCTATCGTAATATATGATTTCTATGGCATGAATGTGTTCAAAGTTTATTTTAACTATCTTTTCTGAAAGAAAACAAAAAAAGTAGCATTTTTTTACATAAAAAAACGTGTTCTTAATATCATATGATATTATCGCACCTTTTACATATTTTTGTTAAAAATATAATTATGACACAATACGTATATGCTGGAAATAGAAACAACTCAAAATAGAACACACATAAGGTTGGTAAAGATATCCTCTTTTAACGATTAGAGAGCATTTCACGGACTTTAGGGTGGAGTGATGTCGACCAGCATCCCATCTGGCCGATTTACTCTTGGAAAAAGATTGTTACTCATTTGAACAGAAGGTTGAGAGAATTTCAGAGGTATCCTAGAGGCAAACCAGTTAGGAAAAATGATCGAGCGGTATAATGAACATTCCTAGAAGGCTGAATTAGGAATACCGCAAGGACGAAACAACCGATTAAAGCATCACAATAATGGTTAGCAAAGAATATCTCTAATTTAGGAATAATATGAGATACAATATTACATGTTTTATGGTAAAAATTCGTATTCGTTCTTAGTACATATCTTTTTTGCTGTACTAGACATCACAGACGCGCGCTATTTATTTTTAATATTTTACTGTTACTATTAAGGTGCCTTTTTACGTTGACGCTCGATCGGCTCGACGCTCATTTTCAGTGAATAAAATCTTCAGAAATAATATTTTTTATTTATATATAATATTCGTAAAATATTATTACTTAAAGATATTACTTAAAAATAATCAATAATTACGTATTTTGAAGCCTATTTTTGATTGTACTGAGACCATCAACGACGATTCAGCGTCAACGCTGCACAGTGGTCCCAAATCCTAAAAACCTGGCCAAAAGTTAAAAACTTAATTTGTCTGCGCAAAAATTAGTATCTTAAAGTTTTCGAGGTCAGTGATTATGAATCTGATGTCGAAAATTAAAAACTCAAAATGGCGGATCCAAAATGGCAAACTTGTACAAACAAAAATTATTGTATTTAGACAAAACTTATTGCTTGGGGGTTTTTGAAGTCGCTGATTACGAATCTGATGTCGAAAATTAAAAATTCAAAATAGCGGATCCAAAATGGCGGACTTGTACAAACAAAAATTATTGTATTTAGACAACACTTATTGCTTGGGGGTTTTTGAAGTCGCTGATTACGAATCTGATGTCAAAACTTAAAAACTCAAAATGGCAGACTTATACAAACAAAAATTATTGTATTTAGACAAAACTTATTACTTGAGGGTTTTTGAAGTCGCTGATTACGAATCTAATGTCGAAAATTAAAATCTCAAAATAACGGATCAAAAATGGCGGACATATGCAAACAGAAATCATTTTACAAATTTTATAGAAACTACTGCCTATACTTTAAAATTTAACGTGTCGATCGTGAATGAAAAAGGGAAGGTACAAATAACCGAAAACAGCACAACACAATGTATTAAATAATAAAGACTTATTGGTTAACGCAATGACAACACAGGTTACGTATATCAAATCGACATCCCTCGATAGCAGCGACACCACAAAAAATGACTTCGATATTGGAGTCACGCCCACCACTGAAATTCTATCAAGTTAAGAGACCTGTATGTAAGACCGTGCACTCAATGGACAATTGTCTTGCGAAAGATCTTATTGGTAAATAAAATTTTTAAAATAATATTGTAGCAAATTATTTTCTTTTAATATTTACTTTTACAAATTCGGTTGATATTTGCAATTTCGACTTGTCACGTCATTTTGGATCCGCCATTTTTAATTTTGTAATTTTGACTCCAGAATCGTAATTAGCGTAATTACTCAAAAAACCCCTGAGTATTAAAAATCATTTTATAAAAATCCGCTAAAAAGAAAAAATGTATGCTTCAAAGTGTTAATAAACATTAATATTAACATTTATTAACATTTAATGTTTATTTTTGTTCTATAATTTAAATTAACTTAATGAAATTAAGTAGGAAAAAATCGATTTTGAATAGAAACTTGTTGAAGTAATTTAATCAATTTACAGTTTGAAACGCCATATTGTATTCTCCATTTTGAATTTAAAAATTTGGATGTCAATTAATTCATAATTAACGACCTCAGAACCCCCGAGTAATAATTTTTGTGCAGATAAATTCCACAAGTTTTGAAGTTTCCACAAGATTTTTGCATTGACTAAATTAAAGCTGACAAATGCTAAACATATACCGAAAATAAATGTCAACTTTCAACTCAATTTTCTCAAATACATCAAAAAACATCTTCGAGATTTTTTTCTTGATATCTTATTTTGTATCTGAACAATGTTTTTTTACTAAATTTAGCTGCACAAACTTGCACATTTTTTAGAAAAGTGACCTGAAAGTTATGTTAATTTTTCCGTAAAATTTAGTAATAAAACATTATTTACATGCATTATACCATTTATTTTACTTTTTTTAACATCAATCAATGTTCAAGAATGCAATAAGTTACTCTAAAATAAAAAATATTTTGGTTTATTATAAAAAAATAAGACACAAACTGACATTTTTACTTCTTTTGCTTCTATCTCCAAGGAGTTACATCGCAAAAGATTAAACAACTTTGATAGCCGATTCTATTACAATAAAGCATTTTAAATTATTATCCATATACAGACTTATAGTTCAGACATATATAATGGTAAAAATATAAATAATTATGCATTATAGAGTACTTCGAAACATCGACTTTTAGCCAGGTTTTTAAGATTTGGGACCACTGTGGATGTTGAATAAATTCAGCTTTATTTCTTGACGCTATAGCGTCAAAGCGAAACCACGTGTATTATATATATATATAATTATATTTGAAGATTTTTGCTCGCTGAAAATGAGCATCGAGCGTCAACGTGAAATGGCATCTTTACACTATTAACCACACAACTGTCAAAATTGCCATATAACTGCTCATGAAGTAAGCGCAATAAGAGAACCAATCCACATCGCGGAAAAGCGACAACAATATTTCGATAGATTCGAGTATATATCGGCGATGACATGCCCTTTTTAGAAGAGGAGAAGCAGGACTAGATTATTATAGCGCGCGCTTTGTGATGTTTTTTATTTGTTATTATCTATGCAAAAAACATTTTTACACTCGATCAATCGATTGAATCGAGACGACCAATCACGTTAGCAATAACACGGCAACAATTGCAAACGCGATTCGACCAACTTCAGGGTTTTATACCGCTTTTATGAGGATTAATAACGTAAGACACCCCTTGCAAAATTTCGAAACCTCGTTAAACCTATAAACTGCCACGTTACTTTTTATACAACAGACATCACAGTTCTAACTAAAATAAAACAAAAGATCATTCAAAGCAGCGTTGTTCAACAGCTTCCACTGCTCACTGACAGAATGCAACATATGTAACAGTCTCAACATCGTAGGGTGCGGAATTAAGAAAGAAGGGCGATATTAGGCACAGTTCCCCTAAGTACTTCTCAAGTTATGGAACTTGAAAGTTACAGTATCATCGGCATCAGCGTACAAGGTATACAGAATGGAAGTTGCATGATCGGATTTACACCTCTGTGCGTGCGTGCGTGCCTCGATCACTACAAAATGGCACAGTTTCATTGAATTTGGCCGGGACCGGATTTTCATAAGATTTGTGTGGGGTCCTTTTTACTCTTTCATCGAGCTTTACTCTTGTGAACCTACAGGTAAGTGATTTTGATTGGAAAGATATGCTCTATGCAAATCCGATAATCATTTTTGAAATATCCCAGGTAGCATACACGTTTCAGAAATGTTTTATAAGCGTTTTTCCGAAACGTTTTATAAACGATTTCTAGAAACGTTTCTCATGAGTAAAAATGTCCATTCGAAAAACGTTTGATGGAACGTTTCTTTTCCAATAAAATAGCGTTTAAAAAACTATTATAAACGTTTTGTTTTAATGATAAAGTAAAGACATTTAAAATTCCTATTTTTCACGTCTTTTGAACGTGTTTATGACGTCTTTGAGACATGCGTGAGAATGTTCTAAAAGCTTTTATGCATATACCATCTATGACGTCTATTCTTTTTCGAAGAAATTCTTGAACTGGTGCACATTCATGTAATAAGTTAAAGTAAAACAAAATATATTTGTCTCACTCTAAACTTAATTGCATTATTGATGTGCACCAGTTCAGGAAGTTCTTCAAAATGAACACATGTATAAATGTTCTTTCAATGGTCACGTTCAGCAGAACGTTTATTTTGCAACTGTTGGAAGTTTTCTAAGCTCAGATTTGTCCGATGACAAATAGATAAAAACTAGAGCTCGGAATACCCGGGTATCCGCCCGTTCGCCCGTTACTCGTTGTATACGGATCTGGACCGGTTCCGCGGGTACCCGGGTAATTCGGGTAATTCGGGTGGCGGGTACCCGTATCGATTCGGCTACCCGCTACCCGTGTCAATACGGGTACCCGTTATACTCGCGTCAGTACGAGTACCCCTGCGTATTACACGGAGACGCGTATACGCAAAGTAATAAAATATAAATTCTCACACGCTTCAAAAATATATAAAACATATGAAAGAATGCTTTTATATTAACCCTCTGTTTTTTTGGTACCTTCTTAGTGCATACGTGAGTCTGTCATGTCCAACGCTATTTTCGCTACTTTAAGTATTTTAAAAAATCTGAAAAAATTTACAAAACATCTGTCTACATTGTAGTTGACAATTTTATAATCTTTTGATAAACTTTTGTTTATTTAATATTTGATTTTTAATGAACTTTCAATAATATTAGCAAAATTATTACTTACAAAAAAGATTACGTCTAGTGCTACATGGGTCTGAGACGTCCGTGCGAGACTTGACTTGGTCGGTATTCGCCATTCGGCGATATATTGATCTTTCGTAACAGCCTGGGTCCTTCTTGAGTCCCTTTTTCCACTTACTTTTTTAGAAGGGGAGGCAGGCTTGTCAGTTTTACAGTTACGAGCAGATATTATTTTGGCTCGGACGCCGTAGAAAAAATTTGTCTGGATTGACCTTAAAAAAGCAGCGCCAAGTTTTTTACAAGAAAAATTTATTTATTTTATTTTAATTAAATATTTTTATTTTATAATGCTACCTCTTTAATTCTTTGTGATTAAGGTGGTCCTTTCGTGAGAACAAGTATTAGATAGGTACCTAAATTTAATATATGTTAAATATACAGTAATAAGGGGCATGTGTACGAAAAATCAAGTAAGGTTACCGACACTTTACAAGAAATAAGTCATTCTAAATGTGCGTTCGCGGAGCGTGCCATTGTCATTCTATCCTTGTTTACATCTAATGAACGAGAAAGATAGAATGATGCAAATCGCCACGTCCGAGGTTTTCAACGAATAATACATGTACTTAGCGATCAGATGAATACATTATTCATGTCTTAAAATATTCCCTGAAGTTTCCGGATTTCGTACATACCTTGAAAATAAGGGCTTGCCGAATGTTTTGCTTTGATATATGAGGTTAAATAAGTAGTGGTCCAATCGCATATTGCTTTACTCGTACTGTCATGCCTGACCTAACCTAAATCGAGTCCAACCGCACTACTATTGTGATATTTTTTTAATTAGTAAATAATTAAATACGATTAAATCGTGCGTGTAAAATCATATTATATTATTATAATTATTGGGATGTTGTGTAATGTTTGTCAATATGTTTGTTTTCAATTACCTCATGACGGACTGTTAACTTGACTAGCTGGGTCCGCGAAAGGACCACCTTAAAATGATTCTTTGTAATATTATAATTTTATCAAGGAGAATTAAAACTACTATCACTTGGGTTGATAGAAAGACCCTCAGGAATACAAAGATACATACCACTTGGGTTGAGTTAGGTAACACAATTATGTTTTATTTTTTAAGAGTAGTTGCACTACAATTATTTTTCAAAGCAATATATATATTCTCTTTGTAGTTGGGCGTAATTTAAAGATTTTATATATTTTTTTGAAATAACATATCACTTAGGGGTTGAGTTAGGTAACGCAATTTTGTGATATAATTTTGTTAAGGAGAAATAAAGCTACTACTATTTAGGTTGGTACGTATCACTTGGATTGAGTTTGGTAACGCAATTTTGTGATATAATTAATAATAATTTTGTTAAGGTATATATGTATATGTATATAATATATACCTATATATATTCTCTCTTTGTAATTGGCGCAGTATTAAAAGATTTCACATATTTTTTTTTAAATAGATACCACTTGTTATTTAAGTTTTTTTGAGGTAGATATTACTTGGATTGAATAAAGTAACAATTTTGTAACATAATCATTTTGTTAAGAAAAATTAAACTACTACTATACCATGCCACCTAGTTAGAATAGATTTTATTTATTTTTTAATTTAAAATTAATGATACTACCACTTGGTTTCTTTTCGAGGTAACAACCACGCGTGTACTTAGCGCCTTTTTTTTACCTGTTTTGAAAAAGGTAATTTGGTACTGATATCATGCATTTTGTAGTGTTACGCATCCTCTTCTAACTAGTCTTATAAAGAGTATATCTTACAAACAGTATGTACAGATTGTAAAGTTAAAGGTGTTACAGACTAATATTTCTAAGAAAACAAAAATTTCATAATTTGCTTAGTTTTAGAAATAATAGTCTGTAACACCTTTAGTTTTATACCCTGTATATTTTGCAATATAAGACATAATCGCATTCTAACGTGATTAATGCTAAAAACGCAACGTGGAAATAACACTTTTCAACTAGCAGTTGCCATCGTTTGCGACGTATTATAGAACCGGCTTAAAGGCAAGAACCAATCATATTAAAGAATTATTGAACGCTCACTGATCCTGCTTTGGGAGTTTTCCAGCAAGTGACACAAATCGACACAAGCATCGTTCTATGTATCTTTCTTTTTTGGCAATGAGTAACAAAGATAAAACGATACTTGTGTCGACTTGTAGTGCATTTTCACGTGCCGCTGAAACTGATCGTTTGAACGACAAAAATGATCACGTGACGACTTTTGTTGCTAAACTATTACAGCGGCAGCTTGTGCACATAAAAAAAGATTGCAGCGACAAAGTTGTGTTGTAGAAAGCAATAATGGCAGCTTCCAAAAGAAAAAAATATTATAATTGGATATCTAATTGTAATCAAATAATTCGACGAAAATGTCAAATACAATTTGAAAATGATATCGTTTTTGTTATATTGCTATCGACATATCAGAAACAAAAAAGACATTATTCGAAAAAAAAATTTTGGGTCGCACCACTTTTTCAAAATCATAATAAATATGGATTTTACAAAGCTATTTTACCGAATGTGAGATTAGAAAGTGCAAGATTTCTGAATTATTTTCGTATGTCATCAACGCAACTGGAAAATTTACTACAAATTGTTGGACCGAAACTTCAAAAGCAGACACATATTAGAGAGCCTGTCAGTGCTGAAGAACGTTTGTGTTTGACTCTAAGGTTTGTTTTATTACATTTTTTAAAATAATTGCATATATGAAAGCAATGCATTAGACAATACAAGCTATAAATGATCTGACTTATATAGTTATCTTTCACATATTATAGATATTTGGCTTGTGGCGACTCAATGGTATCAATATCATACCAGTACTTATTAGGATGTACAACAATAAGTAATATTATATCCGAAACATGTGAAGCAATTTGGAACATGTTGTGCCCAGTTGTCCTTCCATCATTTTTAACAAAGGAAGATTGGCTGCGTATTGCAGCAGATTTTGAAAATCAATGCAATTTTCCTCATTGCATTGGTGCCATCGATGGAAAACACATTGTTATTCAAGTATGTATTTTTATACTATTATAAATTCATTCAATTTGACAATATTTGCATTCAGTTTTACACCTCCGATTTGCAAATTGAACGCAACTATTATAATAATGTGTACTTATAATAATGTACTTTTTCAGTGTCCTGCTAATGCTGGCTCTACATATTATAACTATAAACACAGCCATAGTGTTGTTTTAATGGCAATATGTGATGCCAATTACTTATTCACATTTGTCGATATTGGAGCCTATGGAAGACGCAGCGATGGTGGTATTTTTAGAGAATGTCAGTTTGGCAAAAAATTTGAACAAAAAAAGCTAAATGTACCAAATGCAGAGACTATTTTTGAAAATGGTCCCATACTACCATATTGCCTCGTTGGAGATGAAGCATTTCCTTTGAAGGAATATTTGTTGCGACCATATCCAGGAAGGGGCGGATTAAATAAAGAAAAAAATATATTTAACTATCGATTGAGCCGTGCCAGACGCACTATTGAAAATACATTTGGTATTCTTGCCTCTCAGTGGCGAATATTAAGAAAACCAATAATCAGTACAGTAGAAACTGCAGAAAAAATTGTGCAAGCCATTGTGTGCTTGCATAATTGGTTAAGAAAGCAAGACATAAACACTAATGAATATATATCTGCAAGTATAATTGATCATGTAGATCATAATGATTTTTGTACTGCCTATCGTGAAATTCGTCGTACAGGATCATATATAAGTACTAAATCAAGTATAGAAATAAGGGAAAAGTTTTGTACATACTTTAATAATGAAGGATCTGTACCTTGGCAAAATGATTATATCTAAATATGTTTTTCAAAATACAAAAAATATGTAGCCTCGCATATATTCTTTATATATTTAGATATATTCACTATTGTTTATAAGCATTAACAATAAAGAATGTTGCAAAATAATTGAAAAAGACGTTTACTTGTTATTTATATTATTTATTATTATTTCATATAAAAATAAAAGTATAGACTATATTGCATGAACATGTTTATATAGTATTACTTAGTAATATAAACTGTAGAACATAGGAAACGTTTTATATCACATATCACAAGTACAAATAAAAAACTTAAAAATAAAAGACTATATTGCATGTACATGTTTATAATAGTATTACTTAGTAATATTAACTTTATAACATAGGAAATGTTTTATATCACATATGACAAGTACAAATAAAAAAATTAAAAATAAAAGACTATATTGTATGTACATGTTTATAATTAGTAATATAAACTATAACACAGAAAACGTTCTGTGGCCCGTTTCTATCATCCACGGTTAACTTTAATCTTGGGTTAAACTATCTTTGTCTTTTTTAAAGAATGTATCTGAAAATAACAAAGATATTAAGATAGTTTAACTTGAGGTTAAAGTTAATCGCGAATGGTAGAAACGGGCCTTTATCACACATAAAAATATGAAAAACTTAAGCTTAACAAGTATGCTTAATTAAGTAACAAACACTTAACATGTTTGATAATGCATCGCAAAAACTTTTTCAAGAAATATTTTTTATGAGCTCATACGTTAGTTGAAAAAGTTTCTGCGCTGTATCATCCAATATGTTTCGTGGAAGTTTTCTCAGTCTTGTTTCCACTACAGCTACAATTGCGTCCACTTCATCGTTTTCTGGAGGATCAGGTAAAACAATGGGTGCCTCCGTATTTCTTTTACAGAAAGCATCAGCAATTCTCTCCAGAGCTGAATTATCTTTTTTATTATTGCTTTGTTTCCTTGTTTCTAAAAAAAATGTTTACATGTAATATATATATCTATATATGTAATAATATATGAAATATTATATTTATTTATAATGAATTAGATTAAACATACTTTCTTGTCTATTTTGTTCCACATCTGTAGAACTGAGAATTGAGTCTTATTGCTGTACATCATTACTATCTACGCTGCATGATACATTTGATTTTGTTCTATTATAACAGAGTTAAAATGTTAATTTCCAAAAATCTATTATGTATATTGTATATTATCTATTATGTATATGTATATATATTTTTTCACATTGTTTTATTTATATTGTTTTATATTATTTCTATTATTGTTTTATATTATTGTTTTATTTTATATTTTATGTTGACATTCTACTATAAGTATTGTTCTGAAAGAACGATATAAAAAATACTCACTGTTTTTGTAGGCATGAGTCACGCAAAAACGATAAATTATCGTAGTGTTGCCATTTGCTCATTTTAGCAGGTCTTTCTGAACCACTAGCCAACGATTCATTGCTAACAATTCTTCTGTATGTATCATGCAGGGATTTAAACTTTGTTTTTGCTTCTTTGTCCGACAGTTTTCCTGGAAAACATCATATGTTACAAACAAATTTATATTAATAATTATTGAGTTGCATACTATTCCTATAATTATTTTATTATTGAATAAGTATTTGCTTACCATTTAATGCTTCAGAAATTTCTTTCCATAATTATTGTGCCGTTGCTTTTCTGCTACGGAGTGACAAATCCAACTGTGGATTCCATAATGCTTCGCGTGCCTGTACTTCTAAAATTAATTGTTCTTCTAATTCTAGCAACTCCTGCTTTTCTATAATACTTAATTTTTTCCTTGTATTTTTTCTTTTATTTGTTATGTTTTCTAAACTTTCTTGTACCGTTACTTCTTGACCATCAATTGCACTTCTTCTTAAAATACTTCCATCTTCTACAAATTATTACATGATATTGAATATTCTTTTAAATTTCTTTAAATAAATAAGTTATTTATTTATGCTACTTTTACATACCGCACATCGGATAAAAATAATAAGTATTTGGGTCAGTATAATAATTAGGATATCCTTGAAGACACTCATGTTGGTTGATGTAATCTGCATCACATATGGTTTCGCAGAGTCCACATGTCTGTACTGGTAGGTCAAATACCTACCACAAAACATTAGAAATAGCATATATATCTCACAAGTTGTATATTGTTCTAAAATACTTAAAATATTTTTTTACGTTTCAAAATATATAGCTTAATTTATTAGTCTATATATAGAAAAGAAATTCATATAAAATTTAGTTGTTTTGATTAAATAGAATTTATTTTATATAAAAAATTACTTTTTTTATATATATACTTACGTCATCATTTTCATTTTCTTTATTCGACTCTTGCATCTTTAATATTAATTTAATTTATTAATTTTTCTTTTTTATGTCACTGGATGATGACTACGTATCTTTAACGTTTCCTTTCAGGTTATTTTTTTTTTTTTGTTTCTGCTCCTTTGGGAAGGAGCAAAGCGCCTTCAACCCTGCACCCTTTCAGGTTATGTAATTTCTTAGGTTATGTGTTTTAAGTACATATAATTAATACAGCACGGCAGCACTGTCAGCAATGTATCAGCGTTTGACACTGTAGTTGAACCGATCTAATAGCGAATTCGGGCGCTTGCACTAGTGCACACTGAGTGCGCACTAAGGCTTGTTTATAATCTAATTCTTATATTTAAAGTCGCTTAAATACACATTTAAAAACTTTTTTGCTAATAAAACAATCTGTAATATCTATATGGATGCTGTACCACAGATTAATAGACAGATAGCCAATGGCTCCTCAAAAGTCGAGACCAGCATTTCCGTGCTTTGATTACCGACACACTTTGCCCCTTACCGACAGACTTTGCCCCTAGGATTGAGTCCGGACTAAATCACATTACAGACTTTGCCCCTGGTGCGAGTCTGGACTAAATATACCCGATTTTACCTACAGACTTTGCCCCTGGTGCGAATCCGGACTAATTTTGCCAGATTTCAGCGGTGATGTCAGATGCTCGATGCTCGGTCAGCCGAGCCGGCGAGAATCGTGCTGCTATAGGCTTCTTGTTAATATCTCGGCGCTCGCGCGCGCGCGCGCGCGCGCGCGCACCTAGGTCTTGTCGCACTTATTAATTACTTATGATATTTATTGATTATTTTATATATATATATATATATATATATATATATATTACATGAAGCCGAGACCGAGGATTAATGAACAATACTATTGTTATTATATAATAATAAAGAAAACTTATTTTGTAATTTAAAAATAATTTTTTATTTTTTTATGAGCAAATCGTTAACTTTCCTAAAGTTGTTAGAAAATATGCAAATAATTTTAATGATTGTCAAATAATTTTCCTAGTTTATATGTATTACATAAAAACTCATTTGCCTAAAAAAATAAAAATGCAAAAAAGTTAGAAAAAAACCAGGACTCGAACTTGAGAACTTCAACATTCTAGCCGAACGTCTTACTCGCTCGTCCACATTTACTATTAGAAAATTGCTTCTACCGACTCGATAGATTACGCACATGGAAACTTTAAGCAATTTTATTTTATTAATTATTTGGCATTGGCACAAGTTACTATGTCTTGTAAAATACATATAGTAAAATTAAAGGACAAATTTTTGCAATCACAGCAGTTATGTGTATTTCACTTTTACGAATAGATTACGTATATATTGTTGCTCAACGGAAACCGCGAGAAGGTGATGGTCTCTTTCGTCATGAGATAATGTAAAAAATTTGTTTTTTTTTAACATTGCAATAATTTTAATACGTATAAATTAAAAAATATATAAGTAGATAAAGCTCGTATGTCTTAGATAAAACAAGAGCCAATAACCGAACAACATGGTTCTAAATAATATAGTTTAATATTTCGTCAAAATAACTGGGACGTTTCGTGCTTTACAAAGACTTTTTCAATCAATAAAATAAATCCCTCTAATTGCGAAAAAACCCTGACTGAGATAATATTTTTTCGCAATAAATTTTTTACAGTAATATTCGGGAAAAGGGGGGATGTTAGATACGATTTGTATCAGCATTAAAAATTAAATCGATTTGCGATTTATTTAAGTGAATTTACTGTTCTAACGAAGAAGCTGTGTTTCAAGACCGACAATTCGTTGGCGCGCAGTTTAGTTGGAAATAATATTGGAAATTCACACGGAAATTATTTGCTACTTAGATCCTAGCTCGAATTTGATGGCGTTCTTATATTAAATTGATTTTAAATCGCCGCAGGGACTACTGTCAAAATGCATTCTGCGCTTAGCGCTGTTTATAATGTGCAAATAAAATATACGCTCGCTCATCTATCTGCATTAGTGTCATCTTGTGCACTGTGTTCATACAAGAATTCGTGCAAATGGAGTAAATTGCTACCTATATGTGCACATGGGTGCATTTATATCTTACCGTTTAGAG